ATCCCTTAGATACTTAATTGTTCAAAAAACTGCGGTGGATTTCAAAAGATCTTCAATAATTTTCAAACGAGGTCTGAATTGACTATATAGCATACTCTTCTATGTGGTTTTATACTAATCATCATCATCATCATATGAGGGACGCTGAACCCACTTTTCGACATGATCGATTCACTCACTCCGGGTAGACTGTGAGGACCCCGACCTCGAGCTTCTTGTTGATAATATCAGCCTTCGGCACTGTGAGGTGTTGATAATATCAACCTTGGGCACTCGACCCCTGTTTTTAAAAAAAAAATAAAAAAAACAAAAACCAAAAGCTCAACCAGCTGGCACTACCGAAATAAATCAAAGTTTATTTGTCACGTTGCCGACCTCCTTCTTTTTAAACATTAAATTGATATATCGCCTTTTAAAAAAAATAAACCGTATGGCTTTTGACTGAAGATTACTGTCCATCTGATTGTTACCTCATGTTGTTGTGTGTAATCTGTTAAACCCTTGACCCTACTGGTCATCTTTATATGACATCCTCCGGTGAGTGATGGTATGTAACAATGTTGTGGTCGCGATTAAACTGATTCGCACCCAATTATATCCAACTTTTAAGGCTGGCTTGATACCTGCGATTTGACTAATTGGCATGCATTTGTGTATTTGAAACAAACTGTCCGAGCTAGTGCTCTCCTTCTATTGATGGGGAGTAGCGCCTGCTGGAAAACGGGTCCATCATCCCTGTGAGGAACAATGAAAACAGTCACTGTGAACTTCAAACGATGGGGAGACTTGCGAGCTATTCATTTGTGGCTTTTGACTGAGGGTTGCTGTCCATCTGATTGGCCAAGGATGGTGGGGAGCAACACCTGTTGGAAAACAGGTCTAGCATCCCTGTGACGAACAATGAAAACAGTCACTCTGAACTTCAAACGATGGGGAGACTTGCACACTATCCATTTGTGGCTTTTGACTGAGGGTTACTGTCCATCTGATTGGCCGAAGATCTGCCTCGAGGTCCGGGTCCTTGGCACCTGGCGTTATGGGCCTCTGTCAGAGACCAGGGCTACAATCTCCTGCCCCCTGGCTGCGCCCCCGCGCCCCGCGCCGTCACAGTGATCCAACATTTTAAATGTATCTTGGCGCCTATACTGTCCAGACATTTGGAGAATGGTGTAGTGAGGGGAGTCTCTCTCTTTCTCTCCCCCTCTCACTCACTCTATGCGGGGCGTACTATGACATGCATGGGCCATAGTTACCACATACAGATCTCTGTCTCCCTCTCTCAACCTGATCTGGCAGCATGATAGTTGTGGAATCAGTGTCCTATTCCGCCACGTTACTGCGCCAGTAGCCCTGGGCATTTGGCAAAGTTCCCCACCCCATACAGGGGGCAAACCGGTTAAAACGAGTGCAGGCCTGCCCGTATGGGGTGTGGTCCAAAACGCAAATTCCCGTACCAACCTGACAGGGGCATGTCACAAAGATTTTCCGGCCAAAAGGGCAGGGCATTTTATCGTATATCTCATCTTTGGGGGGTATATGAAATAATATTGCGTTTCGGCTTAAAAAAAAAAAAAAAAGAACACTACGGGTAGGAAGACGGGCGCTCGCTCCACCTCTCAGCATTCTTCATGTATCTGGGTGCTATTAACCGCAGAATACATTCGAAGTGATCCACCACTTCGAATGTACCAACACTTTGAATGTATGCAGAGCGTTATATCAGCTTCAGATACATTTAGAATGTTGTGCTGTGGATGGAGGCCCTACCCGTAGTGACATCGGTGTGATAGTACCGACCAATGTGCCACAGTGCGAGGGCCGCGCTGGTCGGAGGGGAATATTGTATTGGAAGACAAAACTGGTTGTGAGTACAAGTTTCCATCTCGTCATTTGGGTGAATTTCCGCAACGACTTGTGGGCGGGGCAGCTGGGGCGGCTGGAAGAAAGCCGAGTCGCCTTCGGCGTCGGGTGGGGGTGCGGAGGGCGGAACTGTTTGCCGTCCTTCGCACAGCGTGCCTCTCGTTCTCTGCTTGTCCGCACTGAAGGAATCGAGGGAAGGACACACTAGCCATGGAGGAAGGTACCCGTCATCATTCTCTCCGTCTATTTGAGCGCATTAGAGGAAAGGTGGTGTGAATTATGGAACTCACGCCACGTGTAAGGATGCTGGAATCATGGACAGTTGGCGATGGGCCGTTGTTTGTTCTGTGTCTCTGGCTTGCAGACTCGTGACATGGCGGGAAAATGCTGTCCTGAAAGGAAGATTTCTATGCCAAAATAAGCCGAAAAAGAGCGAAAAAGAGCGAAAAAGGTGTAATGACGAAATGCCTTGTGTTGTCATTGCCCGGAATCCATATACACAATCTTTCACTAAATGGATTGGCGGGGGGTAGTAAGGAGATCGCGCTTCTGCCATTGGTCGGTCATTAAGGCTCTCTTTCCCTCTGTTCACCTCTCTCTCTCTCTCTCTCTCTCTCTCTCTCTCTCTCTCTCTCTCACGATGCCTCCCTTCTGCGAAATCAATGCCTCTCTTTGGCCTCTCCGGCGAAGTTTGAGCATATCGTACGACTTGAGGGAATCGGGACGTCATGAATGGACGGCACTGTGGGCGAATGGTACCCGACTAACGTCTGTGATCATTGAAACAGGAAGGAATGAAACAGGCGCGTTTCTGTCATTAGCAAACTACTGTGCAATAATATCGACAACTCTGCCTGTTTGCGTCCAGGAACGATGTCGGTGTCCGTTCACCCGATGGCGAAAACACTGACGCCCATCTGTGCATGGTTGAAATCAATTGGTGGGGTCGGCTGCTGAGCCAGGCCAGTCGGGACTGCACGGATCAGATCCTGATCTGCGATAGGGCCTCGCTCCACTACTCACCCATCACTTGCGCAAACGACAAAAAACTATGGCAGTGTATCTTCCCATTTTCTAGGGGAAGGTTCATTCTCATTTTGCATATTTGGTGAATAGTGGAGCGAGGCCCTTAGTTTCCCGCAGTCTTCCAGTAGAGGTAAGGATGAGTCTCATGGCTGGGGCCTACTCCATTAGCCAGTCGTTCCCTCTGAGATTCGTTGTTACACAAACGGCAGGAGCACACACACACACAGCATCTCTCTCTCTCTCTCACACACACACACACACACACACACACACACACACACACACACACACACACA